CAGACAGACAGACAGACAGACAGACAGAGAGAGAGAGAGAGAGAGAGAGAGAGAGAGAGAGAGAGGAGCCATCCATTACCCGGATGAAGCGCCAGCCTGCGACACTCGCGGGGCACTTGTTCTCACGAGGCGCGCGACGCTCCCCCGGGGAATCGGCGTCGCGTCAACCCCGGTCGACGTCGACGTCGCGCACGTGTCCGGATGCGAAAAGTCACCGGAGAATGGATGAATCGCGGCGGAGCCACCCATCGACGAGAGAGCCTCGAGTGCAGCTCCACGCAGCCTTGGATGATCTTCACAGGTGAACCACTCGATAGCGTTAGCAGCTTCTTTTATCTTGAGTGGGGGAGGGGGAGGAGTCCTCCTTCGTCCTTCCAATAACTTTCGATACGACCTGGATGGGCAAGACTACTCGAAAAAAAATATCTCTTCGTTGTACTAATACAACACAGTTTATCAATTATAAAGGGGTCTTTTTTTAGCCTTTCGAGCATAATAATATTAACTTGTGATGCTGTACATTGCACATTTGGCGTAATATTTCGTCGTAATGTCCGATGAAAGGAATCAGCTGTAGGTATGGGCGACTCGTTGCTTACAGCCCTGCGACGATAAAATGAAAAAAGCAATCGCCAAGGGATTAACGCCATAGAAATATATATATATATATATATATATATACCTCCAGATCATATGCGCGTGGGAGTCTCAAGATGATTCGGAGATAATTACACGAGAGTTTGGCACGTTGGAACGTCAATCGAGGATATTCTTTCATGATCTTTTAGACTGTCGAGCGCGTATCTCAGCATCTCTAAGAAATTATCGGTCGACCATTCAATCGATAACTATTGTTAAATAACATTTGTAGAGCTTATATAATAATATGAGAAATATAATGCTGCTAAGTTCAGCAACTACGCGGCGGTATCAAACGAAATTTTATAATCTTTAGTTTTGCCCGTATATCGAGAAACGTAATACAATGAAATTTCACTTTGACCTAGAATAATTAGACTCCCTAAAGTATGCTTGTATATGCGAGTACCTCGGCACTTAGGTCCATCAAATTCTAGCCTCTTTTCCAGTTTGACAAAAAATCGACGAAATCTATTAAAAAAACCAATGCGCAATGTCCTTCGCGTAACACGGCCGATTAACCCAATGCACAGTCTATCCGATGAGCGTCGGGGGTTCGGTAGGTGGAGGGTGGGGGAGCAGCGTCGATAGAGTCACGCACCTTGCAGACTTTTTGCAAGAAATTTTTACATCCCGAGTAATTTTGCGCTCCCATTTACGATGCGTTACGAGAAGAAATTGCCGAGGCATTGCGCGATACTCGAATAAGGAGTGGACGGTCAGTGCCTCGTAGATTCGACTCCAACGAAATAAGAAGCAACGTTAGATCATAGGCGAAGGAAGAATTGCCGTCGCTCGGCTCGCTGACACAGCTTCCGGGATTCGAGTGGGAGGCAGCAGCACGCGAGAGCCCCGGTGCTCGAGCCACGACGTCACATCGAGGTCACATCACAGTACCCGTGCAGGGGGTTGGGGATCGACCAGGAAGGAGAACCTCGAGCTCGGTCCCCTGGAGTCTCGGGCCATGTCCCCGCAACTCCCGACCCTCGTATGGGGCGATCGAACACTACTGATGTGGCACGCGCCCAGCCCGGGAGGAATACACGAGGAGTTTTTGGCTGACGTGGAGCACAAATCATCGCCCATCGCCGTTCCCACGAGCTCGAGGATCCGTTGCCGTTAAATATTAGCGCTCGCAGTGCCTAACGGGAGTTCAATCTGTGGCTGAGGCCCACCTTTGGCAACTGCGTAAGACACGTTGGATGGTCAATTAAACGTGCTTTCGCTCGCGTGCTCAATTGTCCTCGCCTGTCCACTACCACTGGAGTATAAAGTGTATCGACGTGATAGAAATACATAGAAATAGTAAAAATAAATAAATGGTATTTTTACTCCTTTTTAATTCGCTACTGAGCTCTCTGCCTTCCGCTAATGGGCCTCCTTATTGTTTTAAAATTCATTTTTCACGGGGTTATTAAAATTACTTTGGTAAGTTTATTTTTGTTATTTACCGCCGGCGAAATAAATGGAATGCATGCCCAATGTGATTCTCCGTTTTAGCGTAAATTGCATGTAAAATTTTCCCATTTTACATTTTGCACGCGTTACATTTCTTACTTTACTTATAAATAATTAGATCGAATTGAAAAAAAAAAGTGCATGAAATATAGTCTGTGTAACTTTTAATGTAACTTGTTTACACTTCTTCGGGGGCCTCTAAGCTCGAGACAAGTAAGTTTTTTTTAAAAACATGCTCGAGAGATAAGGAAAATGTCCAAAATGTATTAAATAAATACTTGTTGAATTAGTATTTTCGTATTATTGAGAAATTTCTCAAAATCCAGACTGCGTAGTAATATTATATTTCTTTGGATATCAAATGGACATGAAAATGAAATCGAAAAATCGAAATTTGATGAGCTCGAATATACAGATAATAAAAATCACATCTGATTATACGTAAATGAGGAAGTGGTGGTGGTAACTTTTCTCCTAAAAGCCATATTATTATAAGAGACTTGTAAATGAAATTTAAAGTGCAATTCTATTAGGAATTGAATTTTATTTTACGCCAAACAAAAGGATCGGTCACTTAGGCACGCTAATACGCGTAACGTATCCAGTGCAATTTAAAAATTGCGCAATTACCTTAATTACGTTTTATCGTATAAGCGCGATAATAAAAAGCAGTTAACGCGAACCAACGAAACCAAAATGATGGCCAGGTCCTTTGCGCCATTGTGAGAAAATGCAGAATTGAAGGTAAAGAGTAGAGGCAAGAGAATCGCAAAACGCTCGAAACGAGCGATTAAACCCAATTTCTTCCAACCGCTATTCAACACGACGGCATATAAGCACACTTGTACACACGCGCGCTATTACAAAACAACAGTGTGAGAGGGATGAT